CTATTGTCTCCTGCTTTGATAGTGTTACTTTTACTCTGTTAAGTGTTGTGCTTTTGATTGTTAAAAATATGGGTGAAATCTTTTGATTTGACTTTTCACTTGCATACTATCTAACTTTTAATTCAATTTTAAATATGTAGGAAAATTTTGGGGTTGAAATTGAAAATGATGTCCAAAAGTCAAATTGATTTACCGGAAGCAAATGATGAAGAGTTTTGGACAATTACGATGTTTGTGATACACTATGGATATATATATATATATAGTTTTGTAAAGTTAATGGCTAGCGGGCACCTTGAAGCAATTGATGTTATTATTTGATGTCGTATATGAAATATTTGTTTTTTGAAGTTCATTTCAAGTATATGCATCTGAAATATTTTTTATTACTTCTTAGTTAATTAAATTAATTACTGTAGTGTTTGAGATCTCCATACTAAAGTTAATGTGTTTGAAATAAATGTGATTATCAAATATATGTAAAAAAAAAAAATTTAAACACAAAATTGTGGTTTGTATATTAGTTATAATACACGCTTCAAAGTGTGGCCTTAGGGTATGACAAAAATGTGGCGTGTATAGTAATAAAGGCCACACATGGCAACTGTTGCTATAGGAGCAACACTTGAAAATGGTGGCCTATAAGATAACAAAGGACACACTTCAAAAGTGTAGCTATAAGATAAGAAAAGGGTGGCACATTGTAAACCGTGGCCTTTGCCTAATGAAAAGCGTTACCTTAGGGCAAAGGTTACGCTTGCTTAGGTCACTCCCTAAAAAGTGTTGTCTTAGGTCAAAAAGTGTGGTAGTTGATCAAAGGCCACACTTTTTGGGTGTGGTTAAAGACCTAAAATGTTGTAGTGAATATTCCCTTCAGAGTCTGCCCGGTATCAACTGAAGCTGCTATCCTCGGTTGGTTTCCACTTGCTTCGTCTTCTGTCTATCTCCGCTTCCACGTGTCGCTCTATTATTCGAGTATTTAATATGAACCAATTTTACCCTATACAGAAACATATATATGTATATAAAATATTAAATTTTATTTATTAGTATTAGATATTAAAAATTACCTTATGATTACACCATTTAATTGCCACCAAGAGTATAATTGGTCTTCGTTAATTGTATTAAATTACATGTTGATTAGGTAATTGTGTGGCGAGACTAGAGGTGATAAAATGGTTAAATAAAAATAGTTATCCACCCATATTATCCATTAGAAAATGGGTTGGATAATGAACATTTTAAAAACGGATCGAATATGGATAAGAACCATATTATCCACTTAGAAAATGGATAACTAATGGATTTAACTTTTACATTTCTAAAGCCTCAAATTGGGGGCTACTCAAGGTTGGGAGACTAGGAATTCTCCCAAGAGTGACTATATTCAAGAAGCAATGGATAATATATATAACCATATTATTGGTCGGATAACCCATTTTTTATCCGTATTAAATATGAATTGAGTAAGATAATTTATTCATTTTTTGAATTATCTAGTTTTGACCCGCTCATATCCTACCCGACCCGCCCGTTTGCCACTCATAGGCGAGACAAACAATCCAAAGCTATATAGTTATACTAAATTACAATTGCAAGATAGACTTTCCAAACAGGCAATATCCAGGTTAGCACCTTTATAGCCTGTGTTGACCAAGCTTTTTTTGGGCTAGAAGTGATTTTTTTAAACAAAAAGTATTTTTTTCCCAAAATTGATGTGTTTGGCCAAATTTTGGAATGAAAAAAGTGCTTTTTAAGAGAAGCAAAAGCAGTTTTGGAGAAGAAAAAAAATAGCTTCTCTCCAAAATTATTTTTTTGAAAAATACTTTTGAGAAAAATACACTTAGAATGAGTTTTTAAAAGCTTGGTCAAATATTAATTATTGCTCAGAAGTGCTTTTCAAATTAATTAGCCAAATACAAATTACTTCTCACCGAAAGTACTTTTGAGAAAAACGCTTTTAAGAAAAAACGACTGGCTGAACTGGTTTAGACCTTCTTTGCCGTTCACTTCATTGTCATTGTCTGCCGTTGACCTTTTTGCACTATAAACGAAATTTAGGGGAAAGACGTGAAGGGATGGACATTTATCTAGGGGCGTTTGTCGGTCGGTACGATACGGTATTTAAATATTTCGATTTGATATTTTTGGTATTCGATTTTTTAAAATATTATTATAATACCGTACCTAATTAAATTCGGTATGATTCGGTTTTTCTCCTTTCGGTTTCAGTTTATTCAGTTCAGTAACTTCGGTTTATTCAACTTGAATACTAACTAGTGCATAGAGTCATAGACTGTAATATTCTTAATTACAGTACTCAAAAGTACAAAACTAAAAATATTTGTTTTCAAAAGTTTTGTCCAAAACCAGCAAATATCAACCCAGAGAGAAAATTGTACATAAAAGAATAAATTTGATCATTAGAAATGTCTTGTTACTTACTTAGAGTTAATTGATGAACTTAGAGAATAAAAGAACGTAAAATTTTAGATTTTTTATATCTATGTTATAGTTAATAATATGTGTATTGTGTAATATAATATATATACTCCCTTTGTTCCAGTTTATGTGAACCTATTTCCTTTTTGGTCCGTTCCAAAAAGAATGACCCCTTTCTAAATTTGGTAATAATTTAACTTAAACTTACAATTTTACTTTTAATGAGAAACTTTTATAACCACACAAATACTCCGGGCCCCTTTTTAATTTGTTTAGAACCACAAATTCTAAAAGTCTTCATTTTTTCTTAAACTCCGTATCCAGTCAAATAGGTTCACATAAATTGAAACGGAGGAAGTATTTCGGTATGGTATCGATATTTCGGTATTTTATTTAAAAATACCAAATGCCATACCAAATACCAATTTTTTTAAAACTTAAACCAAATGTCATACTGAATACCAAAATATCGAATACCAAATACCAAAATTTTCGATTTCGGTACGGTAATTCGATATTTACCGTGCAAAACCCTACATTTATCCCTTCTCATTGCTTTGTAGAAATAGTATAAAATAAAGTAAATTACTCCGTCAATTTCATTTAATGTGATTCTATTTTTCTATAGTTTGTGTAAACAATAATGATTTATTTTAAAATTTTAGCACATAATGTAACTTAATTTTTTGTTTTATCTTAATGAAAAATTAATTTTATAGCTATATAAATGATATATTTAAGATCGTACATTATAAAATCTTACAGCTTTCCTAACTTCATTATGTAGGGGTAAGGTCTGCGTAACTTATTTCACTGGACTTATTATATTTTAAAATCTTATAATCACACAAATATTATATTTAGTTAGCATCACAAATTTCAAAATTTTCTTTTTATTTTGAATATACAAACCTCACTTAAAATGAACGGCATATATATATTTTCGTTTTGACGAATTTTACCCGCCCCGATGCCAATTCAACAGGTTTTTCTAGTATAGAGACTTATCTATCTGCAGTTAATCTTGCATGTAAAAAAAGGTTTTGCCATCTCTTTCTCCTCTATTTTCTCTTTATTTACCTTCTCTTTATTTTCCCAAACAAGGTCAGTTGGAGCCTTAATTAATAGAATCAGTCTTTCTACTGAAATGCCTGTTAATCGGTAAGTAAACATCTTTCATTTTTCTCCCTAAAACAAGCAAAATGAGATATGAAGAACAAGTGAAAGTCAACATCAGCCTGCCCTTGCCTCTTTTCTTTTAGTTGACCAATATTCATTATCATGCCCCTTTTGGATAATTTCTATTTTTTGTACTCAACTTTGGTCCAGCTGATTTACACAAAGTTGAAGTCTTTTCTTCTTTTGAAAGTATTCTTTGTATTTGAAGATGTCAAGTATTTCTGGGTATAGTTCAACTTCCTCTGAATAAGAAAAATTAATGAAAAGATTGATTTTTTGTTTGTTTGTAAGTGATGAAAATGTTAATTTTCATTAATAGCATTAGATCCCCACAACCCCACATGTGTTCTTGTTTGGTTGTTTTGACATTGTTTCATGAATTTGCTGGCTAATGTTTAGAGTTGGTAATTCTATTGAGGAGTTAACATTTGTCCAGCTTATTTTTATTAAGTTGTAGTAGCTTTTTTTTCCTCTTCTTGCCTGTTGAAAATATTTTTGGTTTTGAAGATGTCCATTGTTATTTGGGTGTGGTTGAACTTCGTTTGGTTGACAAAAATTAATGAAAAGATTGTTAGCTATTTTTTATAATGGTTAATTTCATTGTATAGCATTAGATCCCACAACAGTACATTTCCGGTTGACTTGTTTTGACTTTGTTTCATGAATTCAGAGGCAATACGTAGAGTTGGTAATTCTTTTAGAAGACTCAACTTTGATCCAGCTGATCTTCACATTATTTTCAGTCGTCTTATATGCCTTTTGAAAGTGTTGCATATTTGAGGATATCATAATTATCTCATTGCGAAGGATAGCTAATGTCATCATTTAGCATTAGATACCCCNCATAATGCTTATAGTTGGTAAATATCAATAGAAAATATAGAGAACTTCTAGTGTTGGATACCAATAATTTTTTTTCTAAATCTAATTATTGAGTAGTAGAATGAAACAAGCCCAGATAGAGCAGAACTGATATTAAAGATTCATACAGTCAACCCTTACTAGTTTTGAATCGAGGCACAGTTGCTCTTTGTGCTTAGAAGTTTTTAAGGTTTAAGAATTCATCAGTTTATTGCTGGATAAAGACATTGTTTTTTCAGAAAGTTGTCCTCTTTATTAGTAGTCATTTGCACCTTTACCCTTCTTACTTCTAGTTTATCTGAAATAGGTTGATTTCATTAATTTTATCGCTCATTTATTGAGTTACGTGACAATGTATATGGGAATTGTCTTTTATTACTCGTTTTTTTTTTTTTTCGAGGCTTAGAATGAAATGTTGTGTACTCAAACACCTCTATTTGTTTCTCTCTTATTTTATTGCCATTAATCTGATGCTTACTGAACATTCTTCTACTGACGATAAGACTAATTTCCAGATTCTAATATCAATAATCAATCTTTATCAAATATGCTGCCTCCACGTCCCAGTGGGTTACATCCATCCTTGTTTCTTGCATCTTCAGATGTCAGGGCATCATCTGATAATCATGAAACCAGGTTGAACTCTGATCAAATTCGTGAATCGCCTACTGAGAGTGCTAGCTCAAGAGATACTTGGCCAGCTGCTGATGCCGTGACTCATGTAAAGCTTGAGAATGGGAAAGCTGAGAAGGGTTATTATGAGCAGTCTGTAATTCACCAGCTTTCTGGTTCAACTAAGATTTATCTTCTTGATATAGCTAGAGAACGAGTGGATATAATTTCTGAGAAAATGCATTTGCTCCCCAACGAGCATTTAGAAGAGCTAAAAGGTAGGCTTCGGAGGATGCTTGAGGGGGGTGGGGGCTCTCAGCAAAAAGATGAATTTTTGGTTTTGCAGAGGGTCATTCGGAGTAGGTCTGATTTAACTGCCAAGACACTGATTAGAGCTCATCGAGTTCAGTTGGAAATTCTTGTCGCTATTAACTCTGGAATTCAGGCGTTCCTGCACCCAAGTGTCAGTATTTCTCAGACTTCCCTGATTGAGGTTTTTGTGTACAAGAGATGTCGGAATATAGCATGCCAAAGTCAGTTGCCGGCTGATGATTGCTACTGTGAGATATGCACTAATAGGAAGGGTTTCTGCAGCCTATGTATGTGTATAATCTGCAACAAATTTGATTTTGAAGTGAATACGTGCCGGTGGATTGGTTGCGACTCGTGTGCTCATTGGACTCACACAGACTGTGCAATTCGCGATAAACAAATTGGAATGGGCTCTTCCCCATCAAATGGACTGGACTCTTCTGAATTGCTATTCAGGTGCAGAGCATGCAATCGCACGTCTGAGCTTTTAGGTTGAGTGAAAGATGTCTTCCAACACTGTGCACCGACCTGGGACAGAGAATCTTTGCTGAGAGAACTCAATGTTGTAAGTAAGATCTTCTGTGTAAGCGAGGACGCAAAAGGGAGACGACTATTTTGGAAGTCTGAGGAGCTCATAGAAAAATTCAAGAGCGGAGTGGCAGAAACAACAGCTTGCAGGGCCATATTAACTTTTTTCCAAGGTATATCTCACGACTTAATGCTAGTGCAATTGGTCTTTCTGGAAATGTATGTGCTCTTTTTAGAAATGTATGCACGGGGAGGTAGAATCTATAATGTGGTTGGGCGGTTTGTTAAGGGAAAGTGTTTGCTCCTGTGAGCTATTAGGAAAAACTACAAACATGTCAAATAAGGACTGGGGCCTTGGAAGATTTAATTTCCGCCATTAGGGAATTGTCACATCCTGCATTTATGGAAGTTGTGCTAGAAATATCAGATGTTTTCACAACCATGTGATGAAACCTATCAACCTAAGGTTACAAACCTTTATTTGGCCTCTATGTACAATAATCTGTCTTAGGTGGACAGGGTTACCTCATAGTTATCCTCTAAAAGCCTAAGAGACTTGCCAAATACTGACTTTGCAGTTTCTGGCTCGAAGCTGAATCAAATATTTTCATCCTAGTCTAAGTGATATAGGACCAGCTTCTAGTGATACCTCACGACAAAGTGTTGAACATATATTTTCACAATCGGCTTTAGAATTTTGGAAACGTAATAAATCTGCGTTCATGATAAGAGAGAGAGAGGGAGAGAGAGAGAGAAGAAAAGGTACGCATTGTTTCCTTTTCGTGCTCTTTCTTCTTTATCTCTTCATTTTTTCCTGGATTATGAAAAAGTATTCTATTGATAAAGAGGAGAAAGAGAAAATTATACGACCAGAGGTCCTCCTAGCAAAAAGTTGTAACAAAATTGAAAAGGAAAAGAAAACAAAGCACCGATAAAACTGTTTTAGCAATGCAGTCTGATTCTGATGTAGATCTCTAAGTGTTAAAGATCCCTGAAAGACCATTGTTCTTATACCATATATTACCTTTTTTCATAAAAGATATTCCAGAATATTGTATTACCTAACTCGCTATGCTTGGTGCCGTCTCGTGCTACGCTATTTGATTGAGAGCCTTCCTGTGCTACGCTATTTGATTGAGATTCGAAATAACCCTATTGATCCTTCAATAATCTTGGATTCTTTTCCATCCAAATACATTGTCTTACTCTGAATCATGGTAAATGCTACAATTTTCCCTTCCCTCTTCCTCGCTGATACCCAAACTCTGGTATTCAACATAGAACTGAGTGAAGCTGTGATACAACAGATTTTCCGATGCTGCAAATAACCTACTCCATAATGCAATAGAAAGGGGAAATGTGAGAAGGTATGGTATGCCTCTCATCTCTTCGCTTACTATGCAAACATCAGAGACGATGAACCTTCATTTTGTGAACCTGCAACAATTGGTCGTGTTTTACTTTAGGACGAAAGACCGTATGAAACCCTTAACTCGTAGATAAGAGGGTTATGTTTCAGTTCTTGAAATGAGAAATAGGATTTACATGAGAAATAACCTGAACTATGCAAGTTGCACACCCTTTTATTCAACATGGGTATGATAACAAATGGAAAGGACATCATGCAATGGAATAAATTATTACTATTTTGTTTGTTCTCTCCTCAAATTCATTGTATCTGCTCTTATTTCCTCAGACGCTCTTATGGTATTCTAAAATCGTCCCTCGTGTCACTCTGAATAGTCATTCCATCTTTGAACCAAACTCACTATTCCTCTATCAACTCTGAAGGAATCATATGGATCCTGTATGGTCCATACTTTTTAGCATTTGAGATACCATACTCTCTGCAGAAGGGCCAACTGGTCAAGACTGCTAGCCAAATACACTAGCTGCGCCTAACATTTTAATAAACGCTTTGATGCTTTTCTCATCATTTTGTTTTTGTGTTTAAGTTCCATGGTCTCGCTCCCAATTATTTTATCTTTCTTCTTCCTTGATAGTGAACTCTTCTATGAGTGATTTGTTTTCGGTCCTATTTTGATTTTGGAGCTTATCCGCATTTTCGGGGACATCATGGATGGAGACCAGGGACTAATTTGAAGGAGGAAAACATGGTAGATTTCCGATTATTCGTCCTAGCAAAAATTTGGGGTGTTCCTTCTTCCCAGCAAGTATTATCCAGCCAAGTTTTTGTGGCAAATTGTTTTTTTTTTTTTTNTGAATGGATAGATTGGTGTTAATCGAAAGGAAGAATATCTAGATTAAAGCTTATCTTTTATTTCGTAGTTAAAGATCATCTCACTGCCACTGATCAGCAAAATATTTCTACTTGCTTGGTTTAAGAAAATAAATAATAATAAACAGGCATACAAATTGAAAGGTAAAGGTAAGTTCCTTAAAACAATTATAAGACCAACAATGTTATTGGAAGTGAATGTTGGGTTGCTAAAATCCAACAGATCCACAAGATAAGTGTCGCAAAGATACAAATGGTAAGATGGATACACGGTCATACAAGATTAGACAACATTAAAAATGACCATATTCACTGGAAGGTGCAAATAGCACACATTGAGGATAAAATGAGAGAAGATCGCTTGACATGGTGTGGTCATGTCCTGCTTTGACCTCCATATGCACCGATCCATAGGTGTGAAACCATGGTGAATGAAGGTGTTAAATGGGAACGAGGTAGACCTAAAATCATATGGAGGAAATTGTTTTGGAAGACCTACAACCTCTTAGAATCAATATACCAATTAGTTGGGAATATATTTTAGTCTTGCTATATAAGTTTACCTTAGGTCCTAGGCTTTCTAGGAGTTTTAACCTTATTAGAGATTCTTATGCCAGTAGAGATTACACAGAACTTTTGGCATTTCCCATTTTTATTTTGTATAATGTTGGCTTGAGATGAATTTAAATGGGGAACACAGTCAATGAAGATTCATATAGTTGACCCCAACTTGTTTGGAACTGAGCCGTAGTAATTTTTGCTCTAATAATAACCGGGCCAAGACTTGAGTGGGCTTGTTAAAATTCTTAAATTTAGGAGTATTCTCTCTCTCAGTTTAAGATTTTACATTCCGTGGTTCATATAATTCAGCATTGATCTCATAGCCTTCGTAGCCAGATGACAAAAAAAATCCAGTCTTCTCATTTCTGATGGTTCATCAAGCAGAAAAGGATTTAAGGGCCTCTTTTCCAATCACATCTACCTTAAATGGATTACAGTTTGATTCCTCTTGTCCTTTTTTTCAGTTTGCCGTCCCAAAAATTTGAAATAAGTAAACTTCTAGAATGTCGGAAAATTCTTCTTTATATCTGTTGTCTATTTTCTAGAAGAATGATTTTGGCTAGTATTGATTCATTTACTCTTTGGGCAAAGAGTTTGAGTTGGACTCACCAAAGAGCTCTGAGGCTGGAAATAGTAGTATGCAGCTGCCACCGCAGGAGGCATGCAACCGAATTGCCCAAGTGGTACAAGAGGCAGTGCAGAAAATGGAATTGGTGGCTGACGAAAAGATGAGAATGCTAAAGAAAGCTCGCGTAGCTCTTGCGGCTTGTGATCATGAACTGGAAGAAAAAGCAAAGGAAGTTGCAGAAATAAAAATGGAGAGGCAGCAGAAAGGGCAACAGATAGATGAATTGGAGAGCATTGTTAGGCTTAAACAAGCAGAGGCTGATATGTTCCAGCTTAAGGCTGATGAGGCTAGACGAGAAGCGGACAGGTTGCATATGATTGCTCTTTCAAAATTAGGGAAATGTGAAGAAGACTATGCCAGCAGATACCTAAAACAACGCCTTAGTGAGGCTGAGGCTGAGAGGCAATTCCTTCTCGAGAAGATTAAACTTCAAGATCACGGTTCGGGTTCATCACAAAGTAATGGCATGGCGGACCCCCCGCAAGCACTCTTATCTAAAATACAAGAGATTCTCAAGAGTGTACAATAGCTCGGAGCTCTCACTAAAGCTACACAACCAACCAAATGAACGTCTTTGTAGATGGCCTTGTTACTATTATTGGCTTGTATTGTGTGTAGTTGCAACTCCAGAAACAATGTGAAACAATGTGGAGTAATTTGGTATTAGGATTCCGCTTATGACTGTATTGTGGACTAGTAGATGTATATCTCATGCACACACTCATATTAATTGTTGTTTCCTCGACCTACTTCATTGAAACACGGGTAAAGAAAGGATCAACTCGATTTTAACCTTTCGGGGTCGTTTGGCATGATGCATTAGAGAAAATATCTCTAATGCATGCATTAGCTTTTGGTAATACTAATTCCTTGTTTGGTACACTTTTTCAATCTATGTATAACTAATGCAATATTTGGTATTATCTTATGTATTACTAATACATAGCTAACCATGGTATTAGCAATACCAACGCTATTAGGGGTCGCTTGGTAGGGTGCATAAGAATAATGTTGAATAGGGTGTGTTAGTAATGCTGGTATTAGTATGCTGGCATATTTTTTATCCATTGATTGGTTTGATGTATTAAAGCATTGCACAATTTCTAAAAGAATTTTATTTACAAAAATACCCTCATAACCAGTCCATCACTTTATCTTTTTAAAAGAAACATATGTTGTGGAATGTTTTTATATGAAAAAATTATTTGATTTATCTACCTATATTGTAGTATAGAACTGAATATTTATTTATAAAAAGAAAATATGCTAAGTATTTATTTATCTACTAGGGGTATAATTTTATTTTCCACTTTCTTGGATTATTAGGCAAAGAAAGTTTGAATTAAAAAATAAAAGAAAAATAAGTTGAATGCAAGTGCATTCCAGTACGTAGTAGTAGAGTACAGATTTTATAAATTTACAATGAAAAATTGGCGGAGTATAGATATAAATAGCATGAGTAATTTCAGTATCAAACTTGCATTAATAAGCGGAATTATTTTCGCAGGTGCGAGAGTGCGACTGGGCAGTGGGCTTCGCAGAAGCGATGATGGCATCGCAGAAGCAACGTCGCATATGCGCCAATCTGTCCGCAGAGCAAAACTGGGCAGATTATTAAGGGATCGAACTTGGTCATTTTTCTCATTTCGTTTTGGATTTTTGGAGCTCGGTTTTGGGCGATTTTGGAGGAGTTCTTCACGACTTCGACTTGGGTAAGTGTTCTATATCCGAAAGTGATTATATCTCATAAATTCATGGTTATATTCATCATTTATTTCAAATTTAATGGAAGAAATTGAGAAAAATTGTGAAATCTTCCGAAAGTGTAAATTGGAGATTTGGAGGACGATTTGTTGTTGGAATTTAATAATATTTTGGTATGGTTGAACTCGTATCAAATGGGGGTTTGGATTTCGTGAATTTTCGTCGGGTTCCGAGACGTGGGCCCGAGGGTTGACTTTGTTGACTTTTCGAGCGGAGTTGAGAATTATTATAAATTGTTAAGTTACACGCATCGGAGTATATTTTGATTGTTTTGCACATTGTTTGATTAGTTTCAGATCGTTTGGCTTTGAATTGAAGAGGCATTGGAGCCGGTTATGGAATTTCGGAGCGAGGTAAGTCTCCTGTCTAACTCTGTGAGGGGGAAACTACCCCTAGGTGATGTATTTGATGTGTGCTACTTGTTGCGGGGGTTACGTACGCACGAGGTGACGAGAGTTCGTACGTAGCTAGGTTCATGTTATGTCCGGATAGACTTAGGTTCCCACCATGCTATAACTGTACTATTCGAGTTGTCCCTTGCCTATGAAATTCCTTTATTTTACGTTGCGACGTGAGGCTAGACTCGCGTAGAGTGATAGACTTGCTATTATAGAGATATGACGGGCTTTATGATTAGCCGCGGAATAATTGTACTCTTACAAATTTCTTCCGTGCTATGCGTTTTCCTCGAAAGACTTTCCTTAAATATTTATATATCACACATTTATTCGTGAGTGGGGTCAAGGACCCATTAAAGCTTCTTATTCTAATGAGATCGAGTCGTTCGCCTCGACAGTATAATAGATGCATCTATGGTTCGTGCCGTTCGACCCTCGGCAATGCGCACAATATGATGTGATCGGGCCGTTCGCCTCGGCAGGATTTTTGTATCATATCTCATGGGAGCGCGCCGTTCGCCTCGGCAATATAATAGATATATCTATGGTTCGTACCGTTCGACCCTCGGCGGTGCACACAGTATGATGGGATCGGGCCGTACGCCTCGACATTTCTATAAAATACTTTTACGGAATCGTGCGTAATAATTTACAAGAAACCAATGTATCTGCGATTTTTCCTGATTTGGATTGTGACAATCTATTTGGTGAGGTCTGTCACACTCCTTTTTTCCCCCTCACTAACCCTTTTTAAAATAGATAAAGTGGTTTTAAAGCTCAAAGGGTTTTCAATCATGAAAGTGACAAAAAGATTGCGTTTCGAAGGATTTTCAGAGTCGCCACCTGACATTTGGTTTCGGTGTGCCAAGTCACCATTTTTAAAATAATAATTTTTCTTCAAAACACATTTGACTCTAAAACTGACTGCATCAGAGATTCTAGATAAGGGGGTTCATTTGACTCGGGGAGAAGGTGTTAGGCATTCCCCGAGTCCCGTAACCAGTACGGTTGCATATATGATCCGGTTGGCTTTTAAGAATATTTGGACTAAGGTAAGAAACACACAAAAGGAAAATAAATAGCAAAAGAGGTTTGAGGTCGTCCCTTCCTAATAAAAGAAAAGAAAATAAAATAAAATAAGTCTTACTAGCCTATACTATGCCTCTACTGACGATGCCACAGCCTCCGTTTACATTCAATACGGGGCATGCCCCGAATAAAATATATACCAAATTTACGGGGAATTCCCCTGAATATAAACTAAAGGGAACGACCTCTCGCCTCGAATAAAATAAAATAGAAGATCTAAAATTTGCCTACCCAAGTGTGGTCGGCCTAAGCATGCTCCTAACGGATAAGTAGTAGAATAAAATAAAACTAAAAAAAACAATTCATGGCATGCTTTTCTTTTAATTTCTCATTTCATGTATTTAGACCGAGCTCGATCCTAAAGCATGTAGATGAAATTAATACTAATGAGCTCGATCTTTCCCAATTCCCACGACCCAATTTACTCAACGAAAGCGAGTTCATTTTGAAGCCTCGAAACAGATAGAAAGCAATCAGGCAAACAAGTGCAAAGCCACGTAAACGAAAATAACAAAATGAATAAAGAAGAGGTGGATTGAAGCATGATGAGAGCCATGACCCTCCTACGGACTAATCTGTGTAACTTCCCCTACTTCACTGTTCATACTTGAATTGTTCTTTTTGAACTTCTCCTAAACCAATTTCCCAATACATTAAGGATCTTACACGTACGGTCTTTCACACCAGGAGCATTTGAACACAATTCCTTCACAAAGTCAGGCCAATGGTTCACGCATTCAGAGTCAGACAGACACTCAAAGAAAGTTGGCCACCAATTTCATTTTTGACAACATAAAAGCTGGAGTTCTTAGCAGACAATTAAACTCATTTTTTACACTTTACAGCTTTAGTTTACTCATTGAAACACAAATGTAATTTTTGAAAAAAATAATGTTACGAACACAGACCAACATATCAAACGATCACTTTTCCAGTCACATACCAATTAATAAATGTCACAACCTGCTTTTAAATCGTGCCAACTCAATGCACCTAACTCGCTTCATGATTTACTAAACTCATGACAAAACTGATCATGCAGGGAAACAACTCACAAATTCAAGTAAGCAACAGAGAATTCTATCACATAACATTTAACGCGACGAAGTTTAGGATCAGTTAACACATATGCCTTTGAAAATATCAGATTAACCATTCGCTTAGCTTGATACTAGGAACATTAACAAATCCCCTTTCATGAAGAAACTAACTTCAACCGGATAACAAAGGGATTATTGATCAACATAGCCTTTTAGAGTTAAATGCTCACATGAATATTGGTGGTTACAACCTAACACTCTAACAAAATCCAAAAGGAAATCATGATTCAGTCAAGAAAGCCAACATATGTGCCATCGACCAGAATTAACAAAGACGCGATTTAAAACCAAGAGAGATAATTGAATGAGTGTAAACAGATACAACTGGTCGGTCTTTTACTTGTCCATGGGTCCACATTGAATTTGAGTTTCTAATACATAGTCCAACTGATTCTTTCAGTTAAACACATGGAATTTATATGAAGTTGCAAGCATTTCATTCCAAAGGATATAACAAAATCAGTTTTCACACACAATTGTCACGAACGAAATAGAGGCAGACACGATGAGAATTCCACAAAATAAGCACTTGGAACACCTAAAAATGGACTTTAGAACATGGATACTAATCGACTACTGGTGAATGAGTCGAAATGCACGTCGATTTACAATTTATATAGGAAATCAGCATAAGCTAGCAGGTATAAACAACAGACCAAAGCACCAATGAAAAAAGATCATTCAGAACGGGGCAGATTAGTGAAACATTCAGCAAGATTCAAGTATTTTTGTTCACATCAATCATTCCTACATCAAACAACAAGAACATAGAACTAACATTCTTCCCAAAGCGAAACTAAATCTGAAGCTAACCTATAGACGCAATTCTTTAAAAACTAAATGTTAAGAACCTAAAGGTGTTAATAAATCCCACACCCGACTGCCATGGCTCTTGTCATACTTTCAATCAACACCAAAACAGAAGTAAAGGGAAGAAGAATGAACCTTGAATGACAAGATCGTTTTCAATGTATTCCGTTGAAAGACGCAAATACAAGCGGATTCAGCAACCGAAATTTGAAATGAACGATACTACAGCAACAGGAACCAAGAGCCACGAACGGACCTCATAACGGCAACTCGATCACTCGGACCTCGAATAGCAATCAACAAACAGCTCAAAATAAACTCGACTCAATCAAACTCTATAGTCGAAATCCAAATCCGAAATCGGAACTGATGAAGCAGATTTTTTTTTCATATTTTTTATTGAGAATTTAGAGTTAAAAATCGGTGGAAGGTGAAAAATGAAGAACAATCCCTAAAAGAAACCTAGCTCTTTTCTTTTCTCACTGTTTTCTCTTTTCTCCCCTCGAACTCCAGAAAAATAATCCCCATATTTATAGGAACTCTAGAAACTTCTATTCTTTTCCTCCAAGAAAACCAGAAAATCCTCTAAAAATCTCCAAATTCGTTTGTTAAAACAAGTAGAGGACAAATGGAAGGAGTAGATTGAGCCGAAACTCAATCCTACGCTCACCATTCGTCCTCCCTTGCCTTAAACGAACCGTGTGAGTGAAGAGTGTGTGAGTGAAGAGTGCGTGAGAGAGATGAAATATTCTTGTCAGAAGTTCGTTAGGCTAGGGCTACGTGGCAAAGAGAGGAAAGAGGGGACCATTGGAGCGGGTTCCGGCGGGTTTGGGTAGTGAAGCGGCAGATGGTTGAGAGAAGAGGGGTGGTGCGGCTAGGTTAGAGTGAACTAGGGTTAGGGGATTTTAGGATTATAATTGGGGTTTTATGTGTTAGGGGGAATTAATGGTAGCCCTTGGATTAGATGGGATGGAAGGCTAAGATTAAGTAGGGAGATGGGGCGGATCAGCTGGTGGGTCAGCGGGTCATCGGATTGGGCTGCCCGAATTTGGGCCAAATCCCAACCCAAAATCTTAATCCTTCTTCTACAAATAATGTAAAATCTATACTATGAAATACAAAACTAATTCTAATTAATTAAAATAAATAATATTATATTGTGAAACTATTTTTGGTATTTTCAAATATTACTCTTAATATAATAGTAGAGGAAAATAGGCTAAAAGCACATCAATTATTAAAATAATATTCCTACAAAAATACTAATACAAATATGTAATAAGATGAAAAACATCATAAAAGTAAAATTATTTTTGTATTTTCAAAACTTAATATAAAAGGAGAGAAAAATATAACAATCATGGTAAAATCAAGATAACACTACTATATATGAAAATACTGATGACCTTACTAAAAATGAAAATTTATGATAAGATAAAATAAAAATACTTTTGTGTTTTTAAATTGTAATTTGAAGTAAAAGTTTACTAAAACTCCATAAAAATTAAAGTTATATTAAATAAGTATTTTAAACACTAAAATAACTCAAAAACGTGATGGGTCAAAATTTATGTGCTTACAAGGTCCATTATATATATATATATATATATATATATATATATATATATATATGTGTGTGTATGTGTGTGT